TAGGAGAACAAACAGGTTTGTCCTGGAGAAGGTGAAGCCGGAATGCTCCTTGGAGTCAAGGATTCTGAAGCTTCGTCTGACATACTTTGGGCATGTCGCAAGGAGGGACTGGTCCTTGGAGAGGGACATCATGTTTGGGAGAGTTGAGGGACGGCGCAGGAGAGGAAGACCTTCGATGAGATGGATCGATTCTGTGACTGAAGTGGTGGGAATGAGTGTGTTTGAGATATTGCACAGGACAGAACAGCATTTAGAGCTCTTGTACGAGGGTTGCTATGAGTTGCAAGTGACTCGATGGCACATAGCAACAACAAACACAATGTGAGTGATGACCTGAAATGTGCAAATCTCTCTGACTTCTAGCCTATTCCCAACTCCTTACGATCCACAGCTCTCTTGCCTGTGGTGCAGCTCTCCTGGCACAGTTGGTAGGGAGTCATACTGCTAAGCAACCACAGCACCCCGATGGTGGTTCAAATCCACCAGCTGCTCAGTGGGAGAAAGATAGACAGTCTCCTTCCATGTGATTACAATCCCATTGGAGGATCAGCTATGAGTCAATTGCAGCTGAACTGCAAAGAGTTTGAGTTTTGAAGTGTGGGGGATGCCAAGGTAGGAAATGTCATAGAGTAGGAGAACTTTTATATTATTTTATTTATTTTTTATATCTTTTTAAAGATCTTAAATATTTTATAGTGAATTAAACTATAGTGAGGATGGCTATTTGATAGTTATTTGTTAACAGTCCTATGTTGTTATTGTGTACCGTTGAGTCGGAATCAACTCATAGCTGACCCTCCAACAGGTTTTTGAGACAGTTAATCGCACAGGAGAAGATTGCCCATCGTTCTCTCCTGGAGCAGCTGGTGGATTCAAACTGCTTGCCTTTGGGTTTGCAGTGCAGCTTCTTGCCACTAGGCCACCAGATCTCCCTATATGATCTGTTAAACATACTGCCTTTGTGGGGCTCTTTCCTCTCCTCATTCCACATCTGATCACTATTTACTGGTACTTTTCTGGTCATTTTCCTTACTACAGTCATTAATTTAGTCATGGCCTTACTGAATAACAGGCAAATGCCCACGTGTTTTCACAATTACTTTGCAATGCTTCATCTATGACAGTGAGCCTTTACTATGTCTTTGATGTCTCCAGATAGATGTAAAAGGACCAGAAAGAAAGAGGATAAAAATTGATCTTTGCTGACTTTGTGTTTACATTTTCTCTTCTGGTTTTGATCATAGACTCTAGAGTGAAGACATTTTTCTCCAGAAATGGCATGGTCATCCTTGGGTTCATTTTCATCCTGTCTCTCATAGCTTTGATTGTTGTGGGAACCATCCAGAATAAAAGTGCATCAGAAAATTTTAAGGTAACTCAAAACTTGTATGTGTATAAGTGTGTATGGGGCATGTGCAGAGGGTGGGGAGGCATGACTATCAACTAGGAGTACAGTAAAACCTGCTAATGCTGAACCTGTGGAAGATGGGAACCTGCCCGTGAAGGAACACTGATACTACTTTCCATTAGATCTAGTGATTGAAAAGTAGTAAGACTGCATCCTATCACAGGTGGAAAACTTGTAAGACCTGAAAAAAAAAGCCATCTCATCCAGGTTCAGCTCTTATAGGTTCCCCTGTAGTTGAGATTCTGGAAACCGAGGAGCTAGTCAACGTCCATTGGCTTGGGGAGTAAATGGACATGCATGCTTCTTTGGAAAAGGGAATGCCTTTAATCTACTAGAAGCCACAAGAAAATTGCCATTTTGACAGCTCAGCTAACTTATTAAGTTAACAGGGACACATGTTTTATTCACCACCCTGAGGTCTGTGTTACACTTCACCATGGGTGAGTTATAATGTTACAGTCTTTGGTCCTTTTACTACAACTATTGAGAAAGATGGTCAGTTTCGTTCCTTATGCTTTACAGCCTGTGAAAACCCACTGAGTCACTATGATTCAGTTCTGATTTGATGGTGAAGATTTTATTGTCAATACAATAATACTTAATAATACTTAATAGAAGACTATGTAGAAAGCACTTTGGAAGTCAAAGATAGTGGCAAATATTAGTTTTTTATCTGGGAGCTCTGGTAGCCTGCTGGTAAGAAGCTGTGCTACAATCCCAAAGGAACACAGTTCAAATCCACTAGCTTCTCTGTAGGAAAAGGATGGGCTATTTCCTCCCATGTGTTGAACTGCCTCTGAAAACCTGCTGGAGGGTCAGCTATGGATCACTTCCAACTCCATGGTACACACAATATCTCTAAAACTATTAAAGAAAACTCCAAAATAAGTGTTAAAAAGAACCCTAGACAGCACAACTAGAGGTTGCAGATCCAGCCAGCTGGATACTGTCCACCACAGTGCACATGCCAAGGCTTTTGATTTCTTGACTGCTGTAACCTTGAATATTCACTGTGAACCAAACAAAGTAAAAGGAAATTGTTGACAACTAAAACAAAACAACACAAAACAAAACAACCCAAACAACACATGCATTTATCAAGTATGGTAATTTGAAATTTATCTACAAACGGACACTTTTAAAAAAATTTCTATAGTTCAAGTTAGTGAGGATTATTTAAAATCATTAGAGCCTTGATTTTGCTATGAAGATTAATTATGCTTACTTTCCAAATAACCAAAGTAAAATTTCAAAGATATCTGATGAATACATTGAGTATCTTCCAAGTACTTTGGAGCACTCGTGGCTTAGCACTAAGGAATATCACTGCCAACCCAAAGGCCTGTGATTTGAATCCTCTCGTTGCTCCACCAGAAGAATTTGGACAGTCTACTCTCCTGCAATTTAACGCCTCTAAAAACCTGCTGGAGGGTGAGCTCTGGGTCAGTTCTGACATAATGGCACACAGCAACTTTATAATATGATAACTGTCTTAATCTGTCAACTAAAACCCAGGAGGTAACATTAAATTTACTGTAGATTACCATTTGAGCTTCATCTGAAATCACAGGATATAAGTCTACAAAGAACTGTGAAGATGCCAGTATGCTAATGGGTACAGAGCTATATGAAGGTGGTAACTTAACTATACACCATGGAATATGTGTGCACAAATATCTGCTCTTATACTTGCAGACCACACTCTATGGACCTCCAAAGACAGATTCTTGTGGCAGCCACTAAAACTTAGCCACCCCCTCTAATCACGTGTATATAGCAGTGGTGTGGAGGTCATATTGCCTCTTTCTACCACACAGATCCAACCCAGTGGGACTTCACACAGCAGCCCCTTTGTCCTCATGGAAGGCTGATGCTGTTCCATTGTGTCCTGCCTTTAATGTTAAAAATGATGTCGGTTCTCTTGGCAAAACTTCACTCACAGTTAAAGCCTTATGACATTCAGTTCTGATATTTGTTTTCCAGCTCCAAAAGTACAATGTGTATTCCCTTCTTGACTTGACCTTTTTTACATGCTTAGTACTACATCACTGGGAAGAGGCAAAAATCCATGACTGAACTTGAACTTTGTGTTTCCAAGTAGTATATGTGGCCATGATGGCCTCCTTTTCCTCAAAGGTCTTCCTGTCTTTTGTGCTGCTGTGTTGTGTTGGCCTAGAAAACCAACAAGGTTATTTAGCTTTCTTTAGTAAAAGGTATGAGAATTTGAAAAATAATCACAAACGTCCAAAATGAATCTTTATGGTTATGATACTGGTATATTTTATACAAATTTACTTTACATAGGCAAATCAGGCATTTGTTAAGGTTATCCACTATTTTTAATAAGATTCCTGGCATATATTAGGACAAAAATATTTTGGGGAACTTGCCCTTTGAAAATGGCTTTAATCAGTGCTTTCCAATTTGGTAGTCACTAGTTATACATGCATAGCACTTCAGATTGCAAACTGAAAAGTGGGCAGTTCAAATCCTTCAGCTGTTTTGTGGGAAAAAGAGGTGCCATATCCTCCTGTAAAGATTTACAGTCTTGGAAATGCAGTCAAGGACCACTGAGTAAAAATGATTCTATAGCAATGGGTTGAGTTTGATTTTAGTGAAATGTGGCTCTTTACATATAAGTTAACATAAAGGAAAGAACATTTTTAAAAATATCTCTTCAGTTTCACTAGCCACATTTAAAATTCCAAATAGACATGTGTGACTACTGGCAACCATGTTAAATAACACAGACACAATTTTCATCTCTGCAGGAAGGCCTATTGGACAGTGCTGCTATAATAATATCACTAAAAGAATTCAAAACTACTTTTAATTAACAAAGTAGACAATGGAAAGTTTTGTAAAATATAAAACTTTTAAAAATAAGAATTATTTGTGTGGTTATAATGTAGTTTCAGGATATCTCAAATATCATGAACATTTTTACTCAAAATAAAACATTTTTAGTAGCTTGTTAAAAGAACTTTATTTCCTTCCAAAAATGACTATTTTGAAAATAACACTTATTTGAATATTTGTTCTTAGTACGAATTTAAGGAGCCTGGGTGGTGCAGGTGGTTCTGGATTCACAGCTAACTGGTGTCTGGTGGTTCAAACTCCTCTTGCCATTCTGTGAGGAAAAGGCCATCTGAACTGCTTTGTTAAAAGGATGGAAGTCAAGGAAATGATATGGAACCTGATGAAAAATGAGCAGAGTACTTAACCGACATACAGCCAAAGGACACTCAATGGACCACCAAACTCATTGGAAAGATGCTCAACATTATTAGCCATAAAGAGAGGCAAAAAATCAAAACCACAGAAAGATACTGCTCCAAGGTTATAGCTCAGGGCCAGAGCATCTGACTGCACAGTAAGATTCTGCTTCACTCCCATGAAGATGGACAAGAAAATAAGTCAATAAAAACAAGTCAAAGTAAACCATCAGAGAATAAGAAATTTTAGCAAGGATATCATGCTTGGGAGGGTGGAGGGACAGCGCAGGAGGGGAAGACCCTCTATGAGATGGATTGATTCGGTGACTGGGGTAATCGGGATGGGTGTATCAGAGGCGGTGCGGTTGGCGCAGGATAGAGCAGGGTTTAGGGCTGTTGTGCATAGGGTCGCTATGAGTCGGAAACGACTCGACGGCACATAACAACAACAACAACAATGGAGCAATTTGAATCCTTGTCCACTCTTGGTAGAAATACAAAATAGCATAGTCACAGAACACAGTATGGAAGTATTCCTCCATAGAAAGAATTTCCATTGTTGTGCCGTTCTATTGAGTTGAGTACGAGTCCTGTCAACCCTGTGAACAACAGATCTGAACGCTTTCCTCTCCTGTGCCATCCTCAGCATCACTGACATGCTTGAGCCCACTGTTGCAGTCACTGTGCCAACCCATCTCATTGAGGGTCTTCCTCTACTTCTCTAACCCTCTACCTTTTCAAGCATGATGTCTCTTTCCAAGGAATAGTCTTTCCTAGCAACATGCCCAAAGTATGTGAGGTGAAGCTTAGCCATGCTTGCCTCTAATGAGCACTCTGGCTGCATTTTTTTCCCAAGACATATTTGTTCTTTTGGCAGTCCATGGGATATTCAGTACTCTTCTCCAACACAACTCAAAGGCATCAGTTAGTCTTCTGTCATCTTGATTCATTACCCAACTCTCAGATTCTCGATTTCAAATAATTGAAAAGACCATGGCCTGAGTCAGGCAGGTCTTACTCTTTAAATTGACATTATTGCTCCTCATTAATTTAGAGAGGACCTTGACAAAAGACTTTATCAATGCAATATGTCTTCTGATCTCCTGATTGCTGGTACCAAGCTTGTTTATTGTAGACCCAAGGAAGATGAAATCATTGACAGTAATTCCGCTCCTAGGTATATATTCCATATGTCATTTAAAAATTAAATAGTAAAGAAAGCCTACCTAAGTATATTAACTTTCTATAAAGTTTTGTGGTTTATATTAGACACCTACCCTTCTTTTTGCTCTTCTCTTTAGAACTATGTGGAATGAATGATAATCCTCATTTCATAACTGATGAAATGAGATTGGTAATTCTCTTGCCCAGGTAGAGTTGGAGCTAAGATTGGAGCTTACTTTTCTGATGGAAAGACCAACATTCTTTCCATTTTCCAAGTTTCTTCAAAAGATGCAACCTACCAGAACTTGAGTACAGAGTGTGTTTTTTGGGAAGTGATTCCAAGGAAGCAGGGAAGCTAAGCCAAGAGGGTATTACTGAATGGATCAGTGAGGATTGATTCTACTAGAATTCCCTTAAGCACTGTGGAGAAGGCATTAACTTCCCTGGACATTGAGCCCCTGGTTTTCACTCTGGTCCACAGGGAGTTGCACTGGTGACTCAGTGGCCACTCTTCTTTGGCAGTTCAAATCTACCAATGACTCAGAGAGAGAAAGATGGACAATAACCCCATATCCCCTCTTGTGA